GTCTCAAGGGAAAAAAAACAAAACAGTGCAGTGAGATGACTCCCAGGGCAAAAGCACTTGTTTGGTTCCTGGAGCCCGTTGGCAGAATGAAAGAACCGACTCTTAAAAGTTAGAGCAACACACACACTCACAAACTTTAAAAAAGAAATGCAGGCCGGGCGGTGGTGGCACATGCCTTTAGTCCCAGCACTTGGGAGGAAGAGGCAGGCAGATCTCTGTGAGTTCGAGGCCAGCCAGGGCTACACTGAGAAACCCTGTCTGGAAAAACCTAAAAAAGGAAAAAAAAAAAAAAAAGAAATGCAGAATTTCAGTACAAATTCTGGGCGGTCTAAGGACGCGAGCAAGTGTGAGAAGCTCCGATGTGCACAGTGCTGAACAAGGAGCCAGCAGAGGGTGAGGCTTGTTTCTACTTCCTTCTGCTCCGTTCTCGCCAAACTGATTCCTCCTTCTCCTTTCCCTAACACAGGTAAATCACATTAGCCGTTCCAGATCACAAGCCGGACACCTCAAACATTCGGACATTCACCCCACTCGGCCTCGGTCCCCCCTGCCCTGTCTGTGCATCTGCACGACCAAACCGTGGTGGCATGTCTGTCTGTCTGTCTGTCTGTCTGTCTGTCTGTCTGTCTCCCTGGCCGACTGTGAACTCTGTGAATAGACGGCTTTTCCACATCTCTGACTCCCAACAGCCAGCACTGTGTCTGACACACAGGCTGCAAAAAGTTAAATGTTTTTTGAACAAATGCATGAACAAGGAGGTGTTGGAGGGGAGGGTGAGGGGGGGATGTTATGAAGGTGTGGCAGATGACAGGAATCAAGAGGGAACGCAAAACTCATGCAGCGGTTTGTTTTGTTCTTTTTCTTGGCTTTACAGTTATTCTGGGAATCAAGTTAAGTAGACGGGGAAAATCTGACGTGGCACAGACGGAAATGTGGGAGGGATTTTTTTTTTTAAATGAAAATATTTCTAGCTTCTTGCTTTCGCCTCCAAATTACACCCCACTGACTTGCGGAGGGGAGTACTAACAGGTTCAAGGTCACCTCGTATAGTTCACTGACCAAGGTAGAACATAACCCCAGCTTTGGTTGGGTGGAGTTTATGTCCTTAGCGCTACCGTGGTCCAGAGGGTTATAAGGTGGGTGGGGAAAGATAAGATGGTTAAAGATGAGCTAAGGGCCTGGGAGGGGCAGGACTACCCCAGGAGGGGGCACAGCAAAAGCTGGGAGATAGCTCAAGGCATGTGTGGGGCGTCATTCATGACTCTGTGTTAGTGCTTGCAAAAGCATCTAAGGGGAAGTGAAGTGTAAATTGGGCTAGGAGTCACTGGGCACCCTTGTTTCAGGATTCCAAGCTGGGACAAACCCACTCCCAACACCCAGTACTGCAAACAGTGGCAGGCGAGGTTCCAGGAGAAGGGCCAAGGTTCAGACAACATGAATCTGGGTGGCCTTGATTAACTGGCATATCTTCATGCCACACCGAGTCTTACTCCTGAGGTCCGTCCCTAAAGCACCTGTGGCCTCCTGAACGTGGCAGGAAGGCTGATAAGCATCTCATGGTAACTGTCTTGAGGTAGGAAGCAGGATTCTCTGCCTTAATCCTAGGGGAATTCAGCTCCCCACACCCTGGGCCATGAAGGGGCATTTCATGACTCATCTTAATGAGGGAGGCTGGGTAAAAAAAAAAAAAAAACCTCCCAAGGCCAAAGATGGCTTACCAGCAGGCAAAGGGAAACAACTAGCAATGGAACTCAAGCCCCAAACTCTTCATGCCTGGGATCAAGACATTATTATAGGAACCCCCTGGCTTTTCCGGGTGCAGATGGAGGTGCCACAGCCCTCCATTTAGCGTTCTCAAAATTCTAAAGCTTCTAGACTAGGGATAATTGTCTCCCAAATCTGATAAGTCATTCATTCACTAGGTAATGAATGTTTTATTGAGGCCTTACTATGTGCCAAGGGCTATTCCAGAGCTATCGATACAATCAGAGCAGAGAGCTTGCCCTTTGGATCTTATATGGTACTGGGTGGAGATGGACAACACAGCAAACCACGAAGCGCCAGGGCCGGCAGTGAGATGTGCTATGAGAAGAGAAAAGAGGAGCACAGGATGGAGGATGGGGAAGGTCAAGCGAGATGTGGGGGCTACAGCACAAGGCCTTTCAGGGGGCGATGCTGAAGAGGCAGGATAGGGGAGGGGAGCCACTCTAACTTTCTTGGAGAACAGCTAGGGCAAAGGCCCCAGAGTGGGAGTGTCGAGGTGTGATCAAGGAACAGGAAAGCCTGAGGAGCCTGGCAGACAATCACCCATTCATTTCTCCGACGAACGTTCACTGAGGCCCCATCTGTTGGGCAGGCCTTCAGTGGGGAAAACCAACAAGGCGGGGTCCCATTCTCAACGAACTTAAAAAGCCGGGGAGTGGGGATAGAAGAACCTGGTTTAAAATTTTTTTTTTTTTTTTACAGCTCCCAGGCTGAGCGACACACACCTACAATCCTAGCACTTGGGAGGCATGCCCAGCCTCAGCTACAAGGTGAGACCCCGACTCGACTCAAAACAGAAACCCAAACAGACAGAGAGAAAGTTACAGCTAAGCAGAAGGCTTCCAGCAGAGCGGGGTCAAAGGCCTTCACACAATTTGGGGGTGAAAGATCCAGCAAAGACCCTAAAATATATGCCACTCCATCCGGCATAATGCTGGTAGTGCTGAATTTATCGCTTGTTCCTTCTTAATACCAACAAAACCAAAGAAGCCTTCCAGATGCTAAACTCGGAAAGAAAATCTTATAAGTTGTAAGTGCACATGAGGTGTGTGTGCCACATCCCGGGCAGCCTCAGAATAGGAGTAGGCACCAGATGGAAAAACCCAGGAGAGGCCACACAGTGGGAGGCATGGACATGGCAGGATACCTCTGTGGTAATTTATGAACTAAGACTGGTCTCCTAAGCCCTCCAGACATCAAGAAAGCACCACACAAGGCCCAGGGTCTGTTCATAAGGGGTGGCCACCGTGACACAGTGACATCTCCTGATGCACAGGGTAGACGGCACCTGCCTCCCTGTGAACTGCTTGGGATCCACACTCCAAGGCCGGGACTCAGGCCCCAGGCCTCTAGTGGACTAAACTCTGGGAGAGGGTTCAGCCCAGAAGCGCTCCGGCCTAAGAGATGCCAGCTCTGTTTTTTCCCAACTCAATGAAAGTACACTTCTTCACAGGACAGAGTAGAGTCCAAAGATGCCTTGCCCAGACCCAGCATGCTCCCACAGAAGAGTTCAGCCCTGCTGATCAGGAGCTGGACACCAAATTGAGCCAATCCATACTAGTCAGATCCAGATCTGAGCAAACTGATGGGGAGGTACTGGTGGGTATGTACGTCACCAGCAACCACCTCAAAGACCACAGAGGCAGGTGAGAAGGAAGTCTTCACCATGTGAGTCTTCACCAGGATCCTAGTGAAATCACCGGAGAGAAACGGTCAGGGTCCCTAGCTGCAAGACGGAGGTGGGACACACTTCCCACTGCCCCTGTGCCCCGACTCTGACCCTGGGCAAAACAGGCTCCTGGGTCTGTACCCTCAAATCTCCTTCCATGCCACCCAGACTATCTCCTGTCTTGGTTTAGCTCTGATGCTGACATCTGTCTAGAACACTTAAAAAGAGAGGGAACCAATCTGCCCCTTTGGCATTGACCCTGACCCTGACTTGACCCAAGTACACCTTTTAAGGCCAAATCTGGCAAGACGATCTCTTCTCTCCTGATCCCATTTCAAGATTGTCCACCACTTGCCAGTTCAGAAATGACCCCAGGCTTATCCACAAGCAGGGTTCAAAAGTGGGTTCCTAGGTTAGCTTGGGCCTTTGCCAGAAACAGCTCCACATACAGGAAGACGGTTGGGACCAAGATTATGAAGAAAAGTCCCTACAAAATGGCCTCAGGTTCTTCTCAAAAGAGTGGCCCTTTCTGCCTCCTCACCTCCTTCTGCCTGGGAGCGTTTTACTCTATAATCACCTTGTTTACAGCCACTTTGAGGGTTTCAGGATAGAAGAGGGAAGAAGTCTTTGTTGGGAATAAGGAAAGGGGTGTGCGCCTTGAGCTTTGAGACGGGAAATAAACCATCTACCTGGGAGCTAGCCAAGCACACGTTAGAAAACACACAGAGAGACAGAGGGGGGGGGCAGGGCAAGGCCAGCTTAAGATTGGGGGTGGGGTGGGGCAAGTTTATGTTGGGCACCTGGCAAAGGAGGAACAATGACCAAAGCTTGGTCTCCAGGCTTCTGCTAAACAGTGGAAACTGCAACTTGGCATTGTTGTGAGCCTGGGAGCCAAGGAGAGACCTCCCAATTACACTTCTGTGGGCCGGAGGGCCACTGACAGTACTCCCCTGCCCCCAAATCTTCCAGAGCTCCAACCTCAGAACAAACTCGAGGGAGGAGGTGTGCAAATTACTCCAGCCTCTCTCCTGGTGGTCACTGACCAGCAGAGCTAAGAGAGGTCCACTGGACAGGACCACCTGCTGAGCCCCAAGCTCATCCTTGGCCTCCTCCCAAGAGGGGTCTGACCCAGGACCAAGCCACTACATCTTTTAAGATTCCCCTCAAATGTCTCCTCCCCTGGGACATCCTCAGCTCTCCGGCTGTTTGCCCTCCTCACCCTCTAAATCTCGGGGAGGCCTGGTGTTTGTCTCTTCACAGGCACGAGCCTTACTCTGTATCCCTCCCCCAGCTCCAGACAAGTGCGTCTCTTTTCCATTCAGCTGAACACAAAGCACAGTACCTGGCGGAAGGCAAAGCCTTGAAAACGGTTTCTGCTGCACCTGATAACATTCCCCTCAGGGGCATAGGAAGAGATGGAGGGGGGGGGGGGGACACAGACCCAATCACACAAACGCAAGAGTAAAACCGGCAGGCACAAAAACATGCAGGGGATGCTTGGGGGGGAGGGGAATCAAGAGGTGTAAATTCGAAAGGGAATTTAACCAGCAACTACACCAGTCCTTACCCTTCTTGAATTCCTCCAGCATGGCATCCAGCTTGGTGTCATGGAAAACAAAATGAACTGGGTGGTTGTAGAAACGAGTGATAGTCTTGAGCGGAGTGCAGTCATCGGGGTCCACGAAAGCCAGGTCTTTGATATAAAGGATATCTACGATATTGGATTGCTCATCTTCAAACACGGGAATGCGAGTATAGCCACTGTCCATTATCTCCGACATGGTGTTGAAGTCCAGGATGGCATCACTGCGGATCATGTAGCAGTCGTGGAGCTGGGTCATGATATCCTCCACAGTTTTGGTCCTTAGTTCCAGGGCGCCCTGGATCATATTTAATTCCTCCTTCACCAGGTCATTGTAGGGTTCTGTCACCTTCAACATCTCCATCAGCTTCTCCCGATTGTAAACAGTGCGAATCTCCTGACCCAAGGCGAAGTCCAGGAGTTTGCTAATGGGGAAACTCAGAGGAAAGGTGAGCAGCATAAAGATTTTGGTGAGAACAATAGTGTTGGCACCCACAGCCAGCCCGTGTCGGGAGCACAGGGCTTGAGGTAAGATCTCCCCGAAGATAACAATGCCAATGGTGGAGGAGGCCACTGCCATGATGCCAGACCCGATGAGGTTGTCTAGAAGGATGGTGAGGGAGGTGTTGACTAGCACATTCCCCAGGAGCAGCGAACAGAGCAAGTAGTTGCCCTTGCGCCGGATGGGCTCTATCTTGCGGGCGTACCTTCTCTCCTTTTCAGTTCCACAGTTCTGCACGATGCGCAGCTCCATCGGGTCCAGGGCCATAAGCCCCAGGTTGAGGCCAGAAAATATGCCCGACAGCACTAACAGCACCAAAACGAGAAGGATGTGCAGCCAGAGTGGCAGAAACCTCCCATGCTCCTCCACCATGAAGAGCAGGGAGTCCTTGTCCGTCCATTTGAGCCAGGGCCCGTCCGCCCGGGCCCGGGTGCACAGCGCGTACAGCTTCATGTTCTCGCTCCTCCGCAGGAACTTGGTGAGCACCACTAGCATCCCCGACGTGTTCCCGCGGCTCACGTTGACCAGCCGCTGGACCACTAAGTCCTTGGTGAGCTCCAGGCAGTTGGTGGAGTTGTGGACCGTCTCGGCGTCGTCCACCTCGGTGAAGGAGATCAGGTTGCTGGAGATCTCGCCCAAGCTGTGGCCGTAGAGCCTCAAGTTCACCGTGCTGCCCTCGGACACGAAGATGACGCCATCCGGGTTCATCCCGCACGACTTGTTGCAGCTCGCCAGCCTCATGCCCAGGATCACGCTCTGCTGGGGGCTGCTCTGGCCGCTGGCCGCCCGCGTCCATAGCAGCAGCAGCAGCGCGGCCAGGAGG